GTTAATCTTCACTGTACACCTTGCATAAAAATTTCATATGGTACACACGAGGTGTCATGCACACCAGAAAATTAAAACGGCTGTCACGGTTAAACTACATATTATTTCGGGTCCGAAAAATTAGTAAATATTCTTCAGACGTTCTAAAGTAAAGGAGAACAGCGTTTTTCTTAAAAATATCACTGTTATGTAGTAAAAAAAATCCGGAAAGTTCTCGTCTTGTGACTTGTTCAATACTTCGAAAGCGGCTCGAGTCCGTCCCGACCTTCTGTCAAAGCCTCGTGCTGCGGACTCTCTCGCGGACCCTCTCCCTCGCACCGTCACCTCTCATTGGCCAGTGTTTTTCGTTAATAACTCGTAAACAAAGCCCCAGATTGCATTTTCGCAAAGGAAAAAGTTACTTCAAATGACTTCAGCTACCCCTCATTTTCGGCTGTTAAAATAATTGTGGGACACTCCCTGTATATATAATATAATAATAATATATTATAATATATTAATAATATAAATATATAATATATATAATCGATAATATAATGTAATATAATATATATAATATATAGATAATATAATATATAATATATAATTAAATAATATTATTTAATAATATAATTAAATTTAATATAATTTTAATATATATTATAATAATATAATTTTATTTTTAATAAATTAATATTATTTAATAATATATAATTAAATTAATATATAATATAATATATAGAATCGATAATATTATATAAATATATATATATATATATATTGAAAGCCTTTATTCGATAAATACCGAAAGCCTTTGTTCGATAAAAGTAAATTATCGAATTTCTAGAGACCTTTAGAATCGGCGAATGCCTTCGAAATATTATAATATTTATTCATTATTAATATTATTATATTATTATTATAATATTCGTAAATATGCTAACCGGCATGCTTATACATCGGCAGAAACCCTTGCTCCTCGGCTTGGCGAATTCGATACCCGAGGACACGCTGCAGTTCTGGAGGGATGGCTACAACCGACTGAACGAGGCGCTGGAGGGTAAGAAGTGGCTCGTAGGCGACTCCTACACCCTCGCGGACATCACTTGCGCCACCACCACAGCGGCTGCGACGGTGAGAATATAATTGTCGGAACATAACATCGAATCCGACGGAAATACGAAGAATTTCCCCGCGAAGGCTGTAACACGACTTTTCAATGACTTTTTTTCGCAGGCTGTCCTGAACATCGACGACTATCCGAACGTGAAAGCCTGGTTCGAGAGGGCCGAGAAGGAGATCCCGGGCTTCAAGGAGCTGAACGATACTGGAAACAAAAAGTTAGTGGAGATGATCCGCTCGAAGCTTGCTTAACCCGCGTTTCTTTTGACTCGCGGGACTCGCGGATAGAAATCTCTGTTTCTTCCCCGAACCCTTTCACAAGCACTGGGAGCCCCATGCCACTCCCCACCCACTTCTAGCGCGCGCATGGGCCGCCAGGCTCAAATATTCCCACCGTTGAAAGTTCTTATCGGATTGGAATATTCTTGAGAATTCATACTGTGTGTGTGCCCGTGAAAGGGTTAACCCTTCGCGAGAAGGGTGCAAAAAATCCAAGGCTTTCTCGAACGACGTACGTACAACGAATTAAGTAAGGTCTAAAGCGTGCCGTGTTCGGTATCGTTTCAATTGGAAAAGTCTCGACGATCTGTTGAACAAATTTTCATGTATAAAAGATTGCAAATAAAAAGGTTGAGTCGTCGTTTTTATTCCAGCATTACCATGTATTTATAGCGATGTGCAAAGGCGTGCCGGCCGCTGCTTTTCTAGGTTGTTTCGTTCGACCCGAGTTTTGTTCTATCCCTCTCTCTCTCTCTCTCTGTCTCTCTCTATCTATCTATCTCTATCTCCTTCTCACGAGGTGTCGGCAACCATAAAGGCGAGCTCCGCAAGGTTGTATCGCGACGATCCACGATCGATCGTTCGCAGCGTGCACACTTTCTTCCATGGAAAATTTCCCGAGCTTTATCCATTGTTGTTGCAGACTGTCATTGAACCGATCGTTCGATGACGGTCAGTCCCGCAAATTCGTATCGTTCGCCGGATACGGAGTTCCCGGATGACCAGATACCTTCGCTGATTAGCATGATTTTCGCTGGCCGCTATCTGTCATTCGCTTCCTGTCAGCGTAATTTTACTCGCGATACCAAGATACCGGGGGGCTCGCAATCGACAAACAGAGAAAACATCCGCGCTGTGTCCACATGTCACAACAAACCATGGAAATCATTAGCGGTGCCGCGCGGAGGAGACCGGCCGAGGCGAATCGATCGTCCCGATGACGATCGCGACGTCCGCTTCGACGAGGACTCGATTTCGTTGGAAACGGAGATTGTTTTCGACCGTTCGGCACGCAATGTACACGGAAGTGCCGAACGAGCAGACGTAATTACCACGTAAGAAAATGCACGGTCTCCGATTGGTGGGCCGGGTGGGGGGAGGGGCATCAAAACAGTGTTAAAGACAGCTTCGGGACCGTCCACGTAATTCCGCATGTAACGCTCGACATTGAACCTGATACTGAAGCCAGAGACGTTTCGCGTTGTCCATTTTCTCTCTCTCTCTCTCTCTCTCTCTCTCTTTCTCTCCCTCTTGTTTCCTCTTTCTCTCCCAAACACCGTCGCGGTCTCTCTCGCGCGCCTCGATTACCGTGTTGCACGTTCCTATGCAATTTGCATGAATTAATACCTTGCATCTTCCGGCGATTTTCCTGCTTAGCGCTGCTTACTACATTTTCTCTGCGGCTCGACGCCGATCTCTCGGAACTGGGACAGCGTTCTCGTCGTTTCGCGTCTGCTCGCGAATCGCGTTCCCTCGTTAGGCCCGTCGCGAATTCACCGTGAGATCGAACCGTGGGGAAATCGTATCGGCGATCTCGCCACGTCGTTCGTAATCTCATTGTTCTCCTAATCGTTTCATCCGAATTGCAGCAATTTCTCTCGGAAACGCGAAATTTCGGATTGCCGCGAATTTCCCGGCGCTACGCCTATGTAATTCATTGCTACCGTCGACGCTGATACGATTATTTTGAGCCTTGCGACTATTATATAAGTTATATATATATATATATTTATATTTATATAATATATATAAGTTACAGTAATTTCTCCCGGAATCGCCAGGGTTCGGGTTGCTGTGAATTGTTATGAAGCGTTGTACGTTCAACGGCGAAATTAAAGCATCGCCGATTTCGGGCCGAAACGATCGTCGATCTTCTAACGGCTGTAACACCGTTAAAAATCGTGATAAAGTTATAACTTTTTTTTCACATTAAAGCTCGAAGTCTCTACTTTACGACACTGTATTTCAATTTCTAACGTCGCGCGTCCAAATGACCGTAAGATTCTAAAACCAACGCCATGCTCGTGATACAAAGTGCACAAAAGTGCAAAGTTTAACGCCGTCCATGGACCTGGACAAATTTTTCTCGAGAATGCCGTTCGAAGCATCGTAAAGCTCGAATTTTCCTCTTTCGTTCGAGGGTAGAATCGAGTCACTGCGATTTTTGAAGCGCATTTCGCCGTATCCACGGTCCGTCTAAGCCGACACGACGCCATTGTTGGCGAAGACATTGTATGGAAAACAGTGTTATCGTGGGAGCCACGCGTGTTACGCGCTAAAAGTCGGTTAGACGGCGAACACTTCGAAGTCGATACAACAACGTATTTACGTTCGATTCTGGCAGCTGACACGAGTTCAATGAGATTCAGCCGTTCGTCGGCTCGCCTCCGCCATTTTGAATATAGAGGATCGGTTTCCGGACGATGCGAAGACCATCGAATTCGTATGAATCGAAGAGAGAGGGAGAGAGAGAGAGAGAGAGAGAGAGCGTAGCATTTTTCTGTTACGGAACGATAACCACGGTGATCCGATCCGTTCGATGCCGGATTCTGTTGCGATTCGATTTATTCGAGCGTCGTTTATCTCTCTCTCTCTCTCTCTCTCTCTCTCTCTCTCTCTCTCTCTCTCTCTCCTTCGCGGTCCCCTACGACAGATTTTTACGTTGGGACCGTAGAAAGTGATAGTACGCAGCGCGGCCTTGGGATTACTCAGCGCCAGGGACCGCGGAATCCCGCAGCCGGTGTTTGTACACCAAGTTAGATCGTGCTGCATCGGTTCCGCGCATCTAGCATTCAGACGATTATGCGAATAACGCAGGAAAAACAGTTCGAGAGTTTTATTTAAATAACATTTGTTCGGATGCAAACGAAACCGTATATTCGAATGATTTATTCGAAGCAAACGTGAAGAATTATTCGAATAAAAATGAAGAATTATTCGAATATAAAGCGAAGAATTGTTAGAATATGAAATGAAGAATTATTCGAATATGTAATGAAGAATTATTCGAATAGGAAATGAAGAATTATTCGAATAGGAAGTGAAGAATTATTCGAATAAGAAGTGGAGAATTATTCGAATAGGAAATGAAGAATTATTCGAATAGGAAATGAAGAACTATTCGAATAAGAAGTGAAGAATTATTCGAATAGGAAGTGAAGAATTATTCGAATAGGAAATGAAGAATTATTCGAATAAGAAACGAAGAATTATTCGACTAAGAAACGAAGAATTATTCGAATNGGTTTCCGGACGATGCGAAGACCATCGAATTCGTATGAATCGAAGAGAGAGGGAGAGAGAGAGAGAGAGAGAGAGAGCGTAGCATTTTTCTGTTACGGAACGATAACCACGGTGATCCGATCCGTTCGATGCCGGATTCTGTTGCGATTCGATTTATTCGAGCGTCGTTTATCTCTCTCTCTCTCTCTCTCTCTCTCTCTCTCTCTCTCTCTCTTTCTCTCCTTCGCGGTCCCCTACGACAGATTTTTACGTTGGGACCGTAGAAAGTGATAGTACGCAGCGCGGCCTTGGGATTACTCAGCGCCAGGGACCGCGGAATCCCGCAGCCGGTGTTTGTACACCAAGTTAGATCGTGCTGCATCGGTTCCGCGCATCTAGCATTCAGACGATTATGCGAATAACGCAGGAAAAACAGTTCGAGAGTTTTATTTAAATAACATTTGTTCGGATGCAAACGAAACCGTATATTCGAATGATTTATTCGAAGCAAACGTGAAGAATTATTCGAATAAAAATGAAGAATTATTCGAATATAAAGCGAAGAATTGTTAGAATATGAAATGAAGAATTATTCGAATATGTAATGAAGAATTATTCGAATAGGAAATGAAGAATTATTCGAATAGGAAGTGAAGAATTATTCGAATAAGAAGTGGAGAATTATTCGAATAGGAAATGAAGAATTATTCGAATAGGAAATGAAGAACTATTCGAATAAGAAGTGAAGAATTATTCGAATAGGAAGTGAAGAATTATTCGAATAGGAAATGAAGAATTATTCGAATAAGAAACGAAGAATTATTCGACTAAGAAACGAAGAATTATTCGAATAGGAAGTGAAGAATTATTCGAATAGGAAATGAAGAATTATTCGAATAAGAAACGAAGAATTATTCGACTAAGAAACGAAGAATTATTCGAATGAAAAATAAAGAATTATTCGAATAAAAAATGAAGAATTATTCGAATAAGAAATGAAGAATTGACCGAATCAAGAATAACGAAATATTCGAACCATGAAATTCATCAATTACTCGAATGAAAAACGAAGAAGTATTATCCGAATAAATAGAACCATATCCAACGAAAAATGAACACAATCAATTTTATTCGTACAAAATTCGAACGAAAAGAATCGAATTCATTCGAATAACAGTTTCGCACGCACATCTGTCCGAAACAATTCGAACAGCGTCGAACTACGATTCGTACAGCGACGAAGAAGATCCATATCGCGCACAGCTTCCCGGCTTTTCCTACAAGGACGCGAACAGGTTTCGGGTTCTTGTTCATTGCCGCTGTATGATTTTACGCGTCATTTGACGCAAACGCGGCTTTTTTTCTTATTTCTGCGGGACAGATAAGAGAGCCGCGGGGCTCGCCGCATCATTCGATACCGGTCTCGTAACTTAGCGCGCGTGTGCGGCCACCGTTCTCGATTTCCACGAAAGGAGACGCGGCCGGGCTCCTGCGACCTCCTGGTCGGACAGGTTCCAGGCCTTTTTTTTCTCGCTTCGTTTTCATAATATCCTCCGGCCTGTATTTTTAGATATTCGCCTATGCGGCCCGCGGGTCGCTCGAAAAATAATCGGGACTCTCACGGGCCGATTACGCGGAAAGGGTTCGCCGCGTTCCCGTCGCCAATAGGATTACCACCCGCGGCTGACGAGCGAGAAAAAAGAAGGCCCCCGTTGGCGTCGGACGGTCCCGCGAAAAATAATGGTTTCTCGACCGTTTCTGTTCCGGGAACTGCGAATTAGAATATTTCGCGGAGACGAGAATACCGCGCTCCGTTGAACAAATTTTGCCGAATGATTTGTCGGCTGCGTTCGACCTTGCACCGCCTGGCCGACGAAGCTTTGCAGTTTACAGATGCGGTTTTAGCACACAGTCTTAGCGCAGTCATCGCAGCGCCGAGATACAATTTCATAACTCCACGATGAACCGTGATCTTACGGAGAATTTATTGCGAATAAATTAGCACGTTCAGAAGATCATCGAAGATTCGTTTGATTGGTTTAAAATTAGAAATAACGCTAACCGAGTAAAAATCAATCAGTTTAATCGGAATTTATTCATTGTAATTATAAAGTTTTCATAGAGTTTCAAATTTATTAGAATTCGATATGA